ATTTCCGTTGGAAGCTTATCGCACTCGTCTGCGTGCTCAACGAGGTGGCTCTTGTGTATTCGCAATGCGGACGATACCTGTAGTGCTCGCTTCTGGCGAAAGCGCTACAGATAACGAAGTGCTCTTTGAGTGATGGGTCCAACGGCATCAAAACCTTTCCTCACTGTGCTCCTTACAGTTGAACTACAAGGAAGTGGACGTGCGTGTGGAGCGTCACCTCCGATTTGAGTTTGCCAGACTCAAAGCACGCCGTCAACTCCCTTCAGATTGTTGCCCTGCGACGTATTGGTCAACCCCTAGCGCTCCCGCGAGCTCTGTGTCTGCGACCGCGAGAGCTCAGGACCACCGCTTGAGCTCAGCTCATGACTCTTCTATTTCCCTGGCTATTGCCGGGAAGCGCGGGGCGTCCTGATCTTTTTGATCAAAAGCGTCCACGGCGACTGGGCAATCTTGCCGAAGTGGCGTCCCAAATTCCCACGAATTTTTTGGAGTCGGGATATCCCCGCCACTTCATCAAATATTGGGTTTGACCCTGGTGATGACGTCGTCCAACAAGACGTTCCACGTGATAGCGGACGTCACCGTTCTCATCGAGAAGAGTTTACCTGTACTTGCGCAAGTAATTGGCAAGATCAAGCCACTTGCGCAAGCCCTTCTGTTTTTTGGAACCGGCCAATCTACAATGGCGACCTTAGCGGATTCCGCTCGAAGGCCACGCTTCCCAATAAAGCACCCTAGAAAGGGAATCTCTTTTGCGCCAAAAATGCACTTGTCTCCATGGCGTACAGTTTGTTGGCGCACATGCACTCGAGCACCGCTCTTAATGGACGATGTGGTTCTCCTCGTCGGTTTTCCTGTGTTTCGCACGACTGTGAACGAAAATTTTGTCAAAGTATGTATGTGCATACGCCCTGGGGGGGGCTTAACAACTGCGTCGCAAAACGATTAAATAATGATGGTGCATTTGACAGTCCTTGTGGCATGACGAGCCACTCCCAGAACATGCCGCTCGGAGTGCTTACCGCTGTCAGCGAAATGTCACTCGCTTTCATGAGCAATTGGTAGTATCCATCTACCAAATTCGAGTGCACTGTACTTCGTACATCCCATCATGTTGTTCTGAAGAAATTCTTTCTAGGAATCGGCGTCTGTGCCGGAATGGTGGCAGCGTTGAGCTTATTGTAAGCATGAACGATACGCCACTTGCCGTTCGGTTTCCGAACACTAAACGTGGGTGTCGAAAGGGAAGACTTGCTGTCACGCACCATCCCTTTGTCGTGATTCGAACGAAAAAAAGGCTTCAATGACGTCGCACTGCTCCTTGGGCAGGGGCCATTGGTGTGTTCCGCA